GCAACATATTAAGGGGGCCTATGCCAGTAACAACATTATCCTTAAAGGGAAGTAAAAAAAATTCAATTAAAGTCAAGGATTAGGCTCGGTGCCCAAAGCTCAGTGGTTAGGGCACTGCCCATATACATGGAGGCTGGTGAGTTCAAACTTGGCCTGGGCCTGCTAAATAACAATGACAACTACAACAACAAAAAAAGAGCTGGTGTTGTGGCAGACACCTGTAGTCATCTACTTGGGAGGCTGAGGCAAGAGAATCATTTGAGCAAGAGAATCGCTTTTAAGCCCAAGAGTCTGAGGTTGCTGTGAGCTGTGACACCACAGCACTCTACCCAGGGTGACATAATGAGACTTTGTCTCAAAAAAATAAAATCAGGGATTAGACAGGGATGCTCTTTCTTGTCATTATTGTATAACATTGCCTTAGAGGTTATAATAGATATAGTAAGATAACAAAAAACTGAAATCACTGGTATAAATCGATGAAAACATTGGCAGAGAAACATAATCTAGTGATTAAATATAATGTAAATATTAAAAAATTAATAGCTTTTTCCATCTGTAGTCCCAGCTACTCGGGAGGCTGAGGCAAGAGAATTGCCTGAGCCTAAGAGCTGGTGGTTGCTGTGAGCTATGAGGCCATAGCACTCTACCTAGGGTGACAAAGTGAGACTCTGTCTCTAAAAAAATAAATAATAATTAAAAAAAATTAATAGCTTTTTCTACTATATAAATAAGCACTCAAAAGTGGAAGGGGAAAACATTCCATTCACAGTAGCTCCAAGACATAGAATACTTAAGAATAAATTTAGCTCCCCTCCCAAAAAGTATAGAAGTCTACTCATGAAAAAAAATCCACATAAATGGAAAGACATATGCAAAGTTAATATAAAAATAAATTCTATTACAATTAATATACAAATTTAATGCAATTTGAATTAGAATCCCCCCAGTGATTTTAGGGGAAATTGAATACAATGAAAAATATTTGGTATGAAGCCAAATAGCTAAGAAGAACTTGAAAAATAACAACTGTGAGGGCCGACTTGACACATCACTCATATTAGCTATGGTTGGTCTAGGGCTAGACAACTGTCTCAGCGGAACTGAGGAAAGACTCTAAAAACAGATCTGTTATTAATGTAATAAATGACAAAGATAGGGTGTCTCCCTAACAAGTGAATTAAATGACCTGGTCACAATGTTCTTTGATTATAATTTTTGGGAAATATTAGATATAAATAGCTATTAACAGTATAATTAACACTTAGGCATTCCTATGACACTCTTGGATAAATTTGTTTTCTTATAATGCTACTTAATAGACCTATCTTTTATCAACTTGGGGCTTTAGAGCTCTGCAGAAAGTCATTTTCCTTTCTCTTCGTTTCTTTTTTTTTTAAACAGTGTCTTACTCTGTCACCCTGGGTAGAGTGCCCTGGTATCAGCCTAGCTCACAGAACCTCAAACTCCTGGGTTCAAACGATCTTCCTGCCTCGGTCTCCCAAGTTGCTGGGCCTACAGGAGCCCAATGTGGCTGGCTAGTTTTTCTAATTTTAGTAGAGATGGGATCTCACATGTGTTCAGGGTGGTCTAGAACTCCTGAGCTCAAGGGGTCCTCCAGCTTTGGCCTTCTAGAGTGCTGGGGTTATAGGCATGAGCCACCACACCCAGCCACCAGTCATTTTCTTGAACATTTCCACATGATCACTTATTTATGCAGAGCAAGTCTATTTTTTTATTAGTGTCAATTCCAGAAAGTGGAACACAGGGAAGAGACTTTTCTCTGAAGTTTTATCTGTAATTAATAACAATACTTGCACACAGTATGCTAATAACTGAATTTCACTAAAGGCATTTGAATAAGTAAAGAAAGCATACAGCAAACACTTAACGTGGAACTTCTGAGGCAAGTTCTGACTTAAAATACCGAAATGTCACAAATGCTACAAATTGTGTATTCCTTTCAATGTAAAATTATTCTTTTCCGTAAAGGTAATTTATCCAATGTATAGCTATATGTGATTCGCTACTTATGCTTATGTAAGATTTGCATATTAATAAACTCAGTAGTCGGGAAGAATAGCTCTGCTAGGTCTGTGTGGCAGACGTGGCCACCCAGCTGCCAGCGCCTGCAGAGGCAGCCCCGGGGCTGCACCATCAGAGACTGAGTGATTCTGGGGTACACGTCAGCCTAAGCTGGGCCACTCTTGGGCAATGCTTGCTCCCAGGGCTCCTCTGGTGCATCCCACCAGCAGACACTGTGGGTTCTGATGGTGGGAAGAATACAGCCAATTCATGTCTCTGCAAGTATCAAGGGCAGAGGATTTAAAGATTCTTTTTTTCCTTAAAAGAAACAATATCAATCTCTAAGCCCTACTGTACCAACCCTCGTTTTGACCTTTTCCAAACTCTGAGTGCATGCAAGTGTCTGCAGATTCAAGATCCTAAGCAGATTTCAAGCCCATCGCTACTACTATTCACTCAACTCCATTTTCCCAGTTCCTATAAGGAGATAACGAACTCTTCCATCATAAACTTTTGGTGCAGGAGAAATAGGATGTCCCTTACTACAGGTATTTTAGATAAAAAAGGGAAGGAAAGCAAGCCGTAGCAACTGCCACACATTTCTCTTCTGCTAAACTTTAATTGAATTCACAATTAAACAACAGTAATGAAAAGTTTCCACCAGGAACAAGCATTGCCAGTTTTGCCCAGAGTTAACAATCACATGGTTTGATTATCAAAAGGGCTTGGTCATTTGTTGAGTCTACTAGTTAAAAAAATGGCATCTTGTACTTTTGGCCATTAGAATAACATCTTAGAACTGGACAATGACAGATATTCATCTAAATTAGTAATGTATGTTAAGTGTGTAATACACTAAGAATTGTCAATTTGATTTTCAAAGGCATTAGGATATTTCAAATATATCTTATATTTGAAACCTCATATTTTAAAAAATGTATTATTTCTGTAAATATATTCCCCATTCCAATTCTTCAAGTTAATGAAATACTGTGGGAGTGATCAGGTTAATTTTGCAAAAATGAATTTCTGTGATATTAGAGGCCTTGTCCCCACAGTTTATGAAGTATAACGTCTCTGTAATTAATTTATGTTTGTGGTAAATGTGTCTTCCAATTTTGCTGCTGGAAAAATATACCAGTGCTGGGTGTGGTGGCTCACACCTGTAAGCCTAGCACTTTGGGAGGCTGAGGCTGGATTGCCTGAGCTCAGGAGTTTGAGACCAGCCTAAGCCAGAGCGAGACCTTGTCTCCAAAAATAGCTAGGTGTTGTGGTCCCAGCTACTTGGGAGGCTGAGACAAGAGAATCACTTGAGGCCAAGAGTTTGAGGTTGCTGTGAGCTACCAACACCACAACACTCCACCGAGGGTGACTAAGTGAGATTCTGTCTCAAAAAAAAAAAAAAAAAATTACCAGCCATCCTATATTTATTGTTCTGTCTGAGGTTCTTATGGGTTAGATTCCAGATTATTGAGTGAATTCAGGCATTTAAAGATACCTGGACATACATACATACACATACATATAGCACACAGGTGTGCACATGCTGCTCTTAGAAGAAGAGACATTGACTAGTAAGCCTTTATTTTATTTTTATTTATTTATTTTTATTTGAAAGCAGCTTTTCCACCACCAGCCCTCTCTTCTCCTAATCTGGTCTCATAAACAATTTCTATACCCTTATTCTCTACTACAAAATTACTATTACTAATGCAGAGCTTTACTATCTAGCACACAGATCCTTGACAAGTATTTATTTGTTTGTGTTTTCAGTACAAAAGTTTGTTTTTAAATTTGTTTTCAAACTTCATGTGGGACTGCACATCTTCTTTGGAAAATGCATTGTAAAAAAGCTAATAAATAACTGAAAAAGAACCCCAGGGATTTTGTGCTTCTTTGATGGCAAAAGAAAGGTGGTGTTGATTTCACCTTTCAGATGCTAAGACAAAAAGTGAGGTGGGATCCTCATTTCACTCAGTGAGCTCTCCCAGGTGAGGAAGAAGTTGTATCATGCACATAGCTCCCGGCAGGTGAAGACCAGTTGAAGGCTTTGAAGGTGACATCCAGAAGGCTCTTTTAAATGGACCAGGTGAGAGTAGTAGGCACTGAGGAGTGTGGTGGATTCCAGTGCTGGAGATAGCTCTTACTGACTCACAAGAGCTGCCTCTAAGGATCTCTTTCCAATTCCATGTTCAGAGACTTCATGGTAGTGGCTTGAAATTAGCCAAGGCAGTGGCAGTGACACTATGGAAACTAGGGATTTTCCCAGGTAAGCCAATTATTAACCAGAACACAACTGGCTTTGGGGAAATACAATCCTCAAACTTTAGGGGGTGGACGATGTTACTGAACTTTGAGCAGATTTCTGAAGAACAAAGCATGACTAGTCATTCTTGAGTTGTTTTGGATTAATAAAAATTCTGCATGTTTCAAAATCATAATGATGGAGATTTCAGGATAATGCAAACTAAAGTTTTGTTTTGTTTGCGACAGAGTCTTACCCTGTCACCCTGGGTAGAGTGCTATGGCATCATGTTAGCTCACAACAACCTCAAACTCTTGGGCTCAAGCCATCCTCTTGTCTTAGCCTTCCCAATAGCTGGGACTTCAGATGCATGTCACAATGCCTAGCTGGGTTTTCTACTTTTAGTAGAGACTGGGGTCTTGCTCTTGATCAGGCTGGTCTTGAACTCCTGAGCTCAAGCAATCCACCTACATGGCATCCCAGAGTGCTGGGAGTACAGATGTGGACCGCCACACCCGGCCCAAAATAAAATTGAATTTTTGATTCTAAGCTTCTTCCTTTTGGTGAAAATTTGTATCCTAAAATGTAATTGTGGAGTGACCTAAACCACAGAGAGTAATTAAAAGATGCTAAAATTATCTTTGGTAATTAGAAGTCAACTTATTTTTTTCTTTGGCCTGAGACTTTTGAGATCAAGCACATATTTTTTCATTGTCCAGAAAACACAGGATTAAGACACATGGATGGACCAAGGTGTAAATGTTGAAGGGTCATCTCTAGGAATCTAAAAAAGATCAAAAAGGTGGGAGAGAGTTGTTAATAAAATGTTATTGTATGAAGAGTTGTAATTGAGAAAGAACATGTTAATGTCCATTTCATTCTTATTAAAATTATGAAATTTTTATTTTTGTTTCAATACTTGAGCCATAAATCTCCTTATTCTCATGAACTTAATGTTTGGAATACGTTGCATCTTACTCAGAAGCCCTGTAATTTCCAAGGCATAAAGTGTAATCTAATTTTGTAGCAGAGACTGACTCAGGGCTGCAGTAAGCAGTTTAATAGAGGAATACATTCTGATGATAGTCGTAGATGTATTTTTAGCAGCTAGAAAATGGAACTACATTCTATTAGTGTGTGATTAGAAGGCACATCAAGGTGTGCCCAGTGACTTGATACTTTCATTTAAATTATTTTTATGTGTTTGCTTACCAAATGCTTTTTGCATAATTAACTGGATTGGAGATCTAGTTAATGTAATTTGGTTACTGAGGTAATCAAAATACTACATCGACTGCATTTTGGTAAGATGTTTAAAGAAGCAACCTCCCGTGTCCATTTGCTATTAACACTGGCTTGAGAGTATGCTTTTGTTTGGGGGCTGAAATAATTAGGCCATAATTTAAAGAGGCTCACTCATTTTGCAGTTGCTCTAAAGCATATTAAGAGGTGGCAAGCGGAAGCAAAATGAGAATTTTTATTAAAAAAGATGAACCTGCCTTGTGATTTTGTCACAGTTATCAAATTCACATTGACAGCCTGGAAGTCCACATAAGGGATTATAATAGGAACCTCCCTTACCATGTCAGTAAACTGATCCACACAAGTCATCCTGATCACTTCTGGAGTCGCTGGGCTACTCAGGGCGAAGGTCTTGGTCAGCCCCCTCTCTCTACGGGCAGCAGCCACTGCATCGTAGATGGCAAATAACACAGAGGACCCCAAGAACATTCCAGCTTCACCTAATCCCTGAGAGAAGGGAGTGGGCTGTCAGAAATGCACGATTCCTTTAGGACTAACTACACACACACACACACACACACACAGGCTTTGTAACCCACAAAGTGGAATGCTTTTGAACTGGCAGAATCTAATTCCCCCCATGACTATTTGTGTAGAGTCCTCTTTAGAATATTTCATGGAAATGCCCCAGGACATCAGGGAAGCTAAAAGCTCCTGTTCCCTCACCCAGTAAAGTCCTGAAGTTCAAAGCCCTTGGCACCCTGGGATACTCTAACTCTGGCTTCACACCATTTGTGTTTAAGGCAAGACCAAGATGAAACAATCTTTGCAGTTGGGCTTGAAAGACAGTGAGGTGGCTGCCTCTTTTCATGTGTGCTGACTTCTCCGGCATATGTCAGATGCTTTTGAATTCACAGTATAGTGGCATTATATTTTGAATGATTCACCAATGCTTTTTTGTTTTTGTTCTAATTTTTCTTTATTCTTCTTTCAAGGCAGTCAGGCCTGTGATCCTTGGTGGAGGGAGGAGACAAAAGCCCAAAGCAGATAAAGGGCTCCCCAGGCTTTGGGAGTTAATAACCTGGGTTATTCTGAGGCAAGTATAGCGGGAGAAGTGGGCTGGTAGGAAGGGGTTTCTCTGCAGCAGAGAGGAGGGGTAAGAGTGGAGTTGTGTCCTAGTTGGAGTAGAACTGGCATGGAGGTGACTAGACCCCGCGGTGGGGGTGTCTCATGCTGGGCCACCCTATAGAGGTGTCCCTGGTCAAAGTCTGTTGCAGAAGCAGACCTAGAAGCCTTTTTTCCACCCTTGACATTCTCTTAGGAAAGAGGAAATCCTTTGAAGACCTGAGGTTCAAGTTGCCACCTGTCTGGACAGATGTCAACCGGGGAACATAAATTAGGAGAGTTTTGTTTTTCTGCACACTTGTGTTTGAGAACTGTTGCTTGCTGTAGGTCTTTATGGACCAGATGAAAGCCACGTGCTCCAGGGAACATGGGGCTGACACCTCAAGTATCAGTGGCTATGAGCAAAGTGTCAGGGAGAAAGTTGGTTGAAAGCCCATTCTGATTTGGGGAGGGTGTGGAAGGGACAGGGTGCACAGGAATGGAGACTGGGGGGCAGGTAGATGGGTTTGCCTGTGGTGTCCTCTCATCTCATGGTGGCATCTGACTCCCAAGCCAAGATGTGCAGCTCCTTCTGGCCCTTCTGGTTTGATTCAGATTCTATTCATGATCTCTCCAAGAGTGAAGACCCTACTCTGGTTTCTGGAGTCAGCATGTGTCATTCTGTCATGAACTTGCTTTTCTTTTCCCTTTCTACCTTTTGAGATTTACAGCATAAAGGTAGAGTGCAAATTTGGGGGACTGTTTCATAATTTCTTAAAAAGAGAGGTAGTTATGTGCTGAATTCAGATGTTGAAGTCCTAAGCCCCAGAACCTCGGAATGTGACTGTTTGGAGATAAGGGCGTTAAAGAGGTGGTTAGGTTAAAAGGAGGCCATTTGGCTGGACCCTGGCAGGACTGGTGTCCTTATAAAAGGAGGAAATTTGGACCAAGAGAGAAGACCACTTGATGAAAGAGGAGAGAAGATGGCCACCCATAAGCCGAGGAGAGAAGTCTCAGAAGAAAACAACAAGCCAAGTCCTTGACCTTGGACTTCCAGCCTCCAGAACTGTGAGAAAATAAGTCTCTGTTGTTTAAACCACCCAGTCTGTAGTATTCTGTTATGGCTGACCTAGCCAACTAATACAGAGGTTTTACATTCCTACCTTGGAGGAGTAGATGGCGATAGGATTTCGGGAACGCACTAAAGTGACATAGAACTCTTCTGGAATCTCCGTGACAGTGGGAATTTTGTAGTCATTTGGACCCCGAGAGTAAAGCACACCTTCTGGGGAATATTTCAGTTCTTCTGTGGTATATAATCCCATGCCTTGGATAAATGCCCCTTCAACCTACAGCCAAAAAGTTCACAGGTTACAATTATATGACATTAGTTGAATGAAATTCCAGTGTGAATGAATGAAAATGGAG